GATATATGGAGAACTTGTCACTCATCTCCGAACTGTATGATATATGGAGAACTTGTCACTCATCTCCGAACTGTATGATATATGGAGAACTTGTCACTCATCACCGAACTGTATGATATATGGAAAACTTGTCACTCATCACCAAACTATATTATTTATAGAGAACTTGTCACTCATCTCCGAGCTGTATGATATATGGAGAACTTGTCACTCATCTCCGAGCTGTATGATATATGGAGAACTTGTCACTCATCTCCGAACTGTATGATATATGGAGAACTTGTCACTCATCTCCGAACTGTATGATATATGGAGAACTTGTCACTCATCACCAAACTATATTATTTATAGAGAACTTGTCACTCATCTCCGAGCTGTATGATATATGGAGAACTTGTCACTCATCTCCGAACTGTATGATATATGGAGAACTTGTCACTCATCTCCGAACTGTATGATATATGGAGAACTTGTCACTCATCACCGAACTGTATGATATATGGAAAACTTGTCACTCATCACCAAACTATATTATTTATAGAGAACTTGTCACTCATCTCCGAGCTGTATGATATATGGAGAACTTGTCACTCATCTCCGAGCTGTATGATATATGGAGAACTTGTCACTCATCTCCGAACTGTATGATATATGGAGAACTTGTCACTCATCTCCGAACTGTATGATATATGGAGAACTTGTCACTCATCACCAAACTATATTATTTATAGAGAACTTGTCACTCATCTCCGAGCTGTATGATATATGGAGAACTTGTCACTCATCTCCGAACTGTATGATATATGGAGAACTTGTCACTCATCTCCGAGCTGTATGATATATGGAGAACTTGTCACTCATCTCCGAGCTGTATGATATATGGAGAACTTGTCACTCATCTCGGAACTGTATGATATATGGAGAACTTGTCACTCATCTCCGAGCTGTATGATATATGGAGAACTTGTCACTCATCTCGGAACTGTATGATATATGGAGAACTTGTCACTCATCTCCGAGCTGTATGATATATGGAGAACTTGTCACTCATCTCCGAGCTGTATGATATATGGAGAACTTGTCACTCATCTCGGAACTGTATGATATATGGAGAACTTGTCACTCATCACCAAACTATATTATTTATAGAGAACTTGTCACTCATCTCCGAGCTGTATGATATATGGAGAACTTGTCACTCATCTCCGAACTGTATGATATATGGAGAACTTGTCACTCATCCGAGCTGTATGATATATGGAAAACTTGTCACTCATCTCCGAGTTGTATGATATATGAAGAACTTGTCACTCATCTCGGAACTGTATGATATATGGAGAACTTGTCACTCATCTCCGAGCTGTATGATATATGGAGAACTTGTCACTCATCTCCGAGCTGTATGATATATGGAGAACTTGTCACTCATCTCGGAACTGTATGATATATGGAGAACTTGTCACTCATCACCAAACTATATTATTTATAGAGAACTTGTCACTCATCTCCGAGCTGTATGATATATGGAGAACTTGTCACTCATCTCCGAACTGTATGATATATGGAGAACTTGTCACTCATCTCCGAGCTGTATGATATATGGAAAACTTGTCACTCATCTCCGAGTTGTATGATATATGAAGAACTTGTCACTCATCTCGGAACTGTATGATATATGGAGAACTTGTCTCTCATCTCCGAGCTGTATGATATATGGAGAACTTGTCACTCATCTCCGAGCTGTATGATATATGGAGAACTTGTCACTCATCTCCGAACTGTATGATATATGTAGAATTTGTCACTTATCTCTAAACTGTATGATATATTGAGAACTTGCTAAATCAGTGATAAGAAAGTTGATATCGAAATGGTCAGAAACGAGTCACTCCGAAGAAACATATTATAAAACAAAAATAATTTGTGAATATGTCTTGTCATCATGACGCTTGCGAAAGTTTAATGAATTAAGTGATAGTGTTTGTGAAGTTCGTGAGAGCGTAAACAGTCAAATGTTGTTCTACATCATGTACAAGCACCTGTTTCGTGAGAACATCGAATCATGGAATTTATAAATAACTTGATTCTCAATATTATATTTAAATGGCCATAGCAACATAACAATTGTAAATTCTAACGTGAAATAGGTAAATATATGTATCACACAATAAATCCCTGTTGAGGGTGAGTTTCTGGGTTGGTCACATTTCATTCCATCTGGGCACGTGCTTTGCGGAACGGTAGCTTGTTCCAAATTCTCACCTCGCGTGTATATACTAATTATGCAAATTAATCAGCTTGCGTAATGCTTTCTGTGTGGTCCTTAACGGACTGGGGGTGTGTCAACTATATCAGAGGGCGTTGCACTAAAGCCAACCAATGACAGTCATAGGTGGAACACACCCACGTGATATAAACATAAGATTCGCTCCAGCCTGTTAATGTAATTTCTGCTGCGGCCTCCTGAGAAGGTAAGTCGTACACATATCTTATAGAGACTGGTTATGTAATGTGATTTAACCGTTGCACCGACGCGAACTTAGGAGACTGGTTACATAGAATGCTCAGATGTGACAGTCGGGCCTGTATATAAACAGACACATATATACAAGCATACTGTTCACACGCAGTGGTGTCCGGATCGATATCGGCCGAAAACACCTTTTGATTTTGGAGAATGTCTTTAAAATTAACTGTTTCTATGTATTTCACGGAGATTTAACGCCTGTTATATATTAGTAGGCGAGCAATAATAAACATGTTACATAATGGGTCTATATAAAACATAGAAGGTCATGGTCACTGCCCACAGGTCACGTGGACTGACCATTGTGACTGAATTATACCTATATCTCCATGTTATGTCAACACAATAAGTACCGGTATTTCGGTCTAGGTCATGCTCCTCCGTTGTTTAGAGTTGGACCGGTTCTGTATATAAAGCAAGCCAAGCTGGTATAGTCAGCGGTGGTTGTCATTCATGTTCTCAGTTTACACGAGGTAAGATATTAGAAGTGGGGAAAAAAAAGGTAGGACCAGTTTGACCAGACGGGCAGTTTTTGTTTTTGCGTAGATGTTTATGATCGAAATATCAGAAAATGTTGTAACATAAACTAAAATCTTTCAAGTGTAGATAAAGCTTTAATACAAGATGGTATAAAGCATGCTAGATAATGTAGGTATGTAGATATCACTATGAAAAGAGAGAAAGAGAAAGCGAGCGAAAGGTAAAACATATATTTTATCTTTAATAAAACTTTAAACTATTTGGTAAACAGGGGGATTTTTATTGGAATTTTGGTAAAAGTTTTCAGTTTCATCACATAATTAGATATACCAATGTACCTAAGTCTGTGGTTACATGTTAACCAACCTGGATGAAAAAGATACATGTTGCAGATAGGTTCAATCAGATTACTGGGTATGTATGAAAATTAACGTGTGCATTTAGCTGTGTCCAGATGTAATTGGTACCTTTTGCTGTCATAATGCCATTTTCGATATATTTTTTTTTCAAAGAAACAAGTATATAATCATGTTGTTAAAATCATTTAGAAATATCAAAAAGCTCTGAAAATAATGATTTAAGAACTGAAATTAATTGTCTGGTTCAAACATGCCTTAAATTAAGCTTTGCCTGTTATGGTAGGAGCAAACGGTCAAAGGATTATTTTGTTTTCTTTTTAACTAAGTTTCTCGAACATTCTGGAAAGTGTTTTAAAGGAACTTTAAATGTGCAGCAGGTATTCTAAACATGTACACGTTGCTTTATTTTTTTAATACACTGTCATTATATGGTGTGCATCTGGGAACCATCTTGAATTTTGACAGTAATAGCATGTTTTTGCTACTTCTTGAGTAGTCCTGGATGAATAACTTTTAAGTTTTAAGTTTAAGGTTCTTCTTGGTACCTAGGTTTTGGATTTTCTCACTTTGGGACAGATCTGAGAGAAACGAAATGACTGACTGGTGTCCATCTTCAATTTTGCCTATGAAAATTTGTTGTTTCAATTTCTAGGGAAGTACTGTATGGATCTTTTTAAGATTTCATATACATATAGGTTCTCCTTAATTCCTAGTTTGGCTATTTTAATTCTGGGACAGATCAGAAAACAAAATGGTGGACAGGCAGCCATATTGGATTTTAACAATGAAAGTTTGTTATTGCTCTTTCTTCAGAAATACTGGATGGATCTTTCTCAATTTCATGTGTATTTCCCCATGGGCCTTAGTTGTGCTGATTTGATTTTGAAATTGATAAAATAAATAAAATGGCTGACAGGTGACGATCTTGTATTTGACAATGAAATATTATTATTGCTATATCTTATAAAAATAAGTTATGGTAATTTCAATCACATCATACCCAAGTGTCACCAGTAAGTGGGTTATTTAATGGCCGTTAAGTAACCCACTTACTGGTGATGCTTGGGTATGTTGTGATTAAAACTACCTTGATTCATTTATCTTATGTTATTTTGTCTCCCTGCATACCTTTCGGTATCCATACCCCATGCGCAGCACCTCACTGATCAACCTACTTATTTTAAAACTAATGTTGGCTCCACTCTTGTAGTAGATCTTAAAAAGAGTTTTCAAATTACATTCGATTAAGTGCAAGAAAAGAAGAAAGAATAGAAAAAAGGGGAAGATAATTGTTTTAAAGAAAAGATAAAATCTAAACCATGGAGAGTGCCAAGATCTCTCCGGAATAGCTTATTTTCCTGTAACGATGACAATGGAAACAAAAGGCTAAAAATTAATATTTGGCAGTTCTGAAATATATCACAAAAACTTCATTTTCATCAGTCTTTTGCTGTTGTTATTAAATTTCGTGATTTTATCTGTAACCATACAAGTGAATAGCAAAAATCTTCACATTTATAAATTCAGCAAGTTTCACAATACTGAACAATTTTGTTACAGGTATTTTTCTACTTTTCATGCTGTGTGTGATGGTGACAGGTATATTATTTGTTACAGGTAGTTTTGTGCTGCGTCCGAGATCACCTTACCAAAGCCTTTTCCTGACCTCCAATCATGATGCTGAATATCCTGACCGGAAATCTGACCTTTGAGTCACTTCGTCCTCCAGACTTGACCTGCTGTACTAAAAAGTAGGTCAACTGTTAATGTTTTTGAGAAGTCTTCTGAGAAAGACATTTGATTCCAGTTATTCATGTCAAAAAGTTCAGTGTAGTAAGTTCAGAGGTTACCCAAAAAGAAGTGATTCAGTTTTCATATCTTTATTCTTGTGTGCCATAGAGAACAGGAGAGAGGAAAATAGAATCTATTATTTCCCTTTCTTATAGGTTAATAGAATCTTTAACCCCACTAAGGGTGAGATATATGCAATCTCTAACTGAAGGAAAAGATGCTCAATTTGGTTAGTACCACATTTCTTGTTCTTTGGCAAATTCAGCATCTTGCCCTGAGGGTTGAGATTCCCTATTTCACACCAAATGGGGTGAATAATTGTTTCACTTTTAGCCTGCTGTGAATCCTATGTTTGTCCTATTGTGGTCTCTTCAATTCATTTTATTGTTGCTGTAATATCATACAATTGTCATGGTAAGCGATTCACTTCATCTCCACCCAAGGGTGAAGTTAATGAAGTGTTTCACCCATGTACAATGTGGATAGAGATTGCTCTTATCCTGAACGGGTGTTGCGACATGACCGATGTGAGATTTCCTTGTTTCACCCCAAGGGTTGAGACTGTGGAAATCCCCTTCCGCAACAACGATAAGAATGCAAAGACATCAAGTTAGCAAATTCAGTAACGTCATAATAGCAAAGTCATGTATTGATCACTCTGAGGTATGTCAACATATTACGCTAACAAAAGATAAAAATAATCATTCGCCCACTTTTATGTGAGATAAGGGATTTCCCTTAGTTGGCAAAGCCATGTGTTTGTCAGCTTAAGAATCTTGCTGATTTAGTTGGTTTTGGCCTATCTCCTTGCCCAGGGGTTAAAAACTCTGTTGATTTCAACCCAAGTTCTAAACTAAAATAATAAATAAATAAACAGCAAGTTTGTAAATGATAACTCTGTCTACATTACAAAGAGGTTATTATTTACTTCCACTCTTTCCTTATACATGTATAAAATATAATATTAAACTGTGTTTGTGAACTATATACATCACACCATCTTCAATAAGTGATGAAAGGTATATGAAATGATATGTTTATGAAACACTATGCCCCTGCAAAATTCTAAAGTGGGACATTAAAACGAAAGCGTAAGTCAGGTGCTATTTGAATGCACAATTGTTCAAATGTAGGCCAAAGGTCACGGTCAAGGTCACATGCCTAATATGAAAGCCCTATCTCTTACAGTGCAATAGTTATGGCAAGGTTAAAGTCGACAACAGACAAACAAACAAAAATATATGGCAATGACAATATAGCCCTGAGCTTTCCAATACGGGCATAAAAAGAGAATGAAATTATCTAGTTGTAAAACAATAATGCTATGTAAAGTGATGATGAGACCTTACTGTGGGTGATGAGGTCAAAGTGCGTGGCCGCTGCCTTTTACTAGATTTAAGTTTCACTAACACCCCAATAAGGAGATTTTAAAAGCCGTGCTTTGCTGGTTTGTCAACATCTAGAATTTTACATAAAGGCTTTGAGAAGAGTATTTATCATTAGACTGAGGCTTTGGAGAGAGAATTTATCATTAGACTGAGGCTTTGAGGAGAGAATTTATCATTAGACTGAGGCTTTGAGGAGAGAATTTATCATTAGACTGAGGCTTTGGAGAGAGAATTTATCATTAGACTAAGGCTTTGAGGAGAGAATTTATCATTAGACTAAGGCTTTGAGGAGAGAATTTATCATTAGACTGAGGCTTTGGAGAGAGTATTTATCATTAGACTGAGGCTTTGGAGAGAGTATTTATCATTAGACTAAGGCTTTGGAGAGAGTATTTATCATTAGACTGAGGCTTTGGAGAGAGAATTTATCATTAGACTGAGGCTTTGAGGAGAGAATTTATCATTGGAGAGAGAATTTATCATTAGACTGAGGCTTTGAGGAGAGTATTTATCATTAGATTGAGGCTTTGAGGAGAGTATTTATAGGAGAGACTGAGGCTTTGAGGAGAGAATTTATCATTAGACTGAGGCTTTGGAGAGAGAATTTATCATTAGACTGAGGCTTTGAGGAGAGTATTTATCATTAGACTGAGGCTTTGGAGAGAGAATTTATCATTAGACTGAGGCTTTGAGGAGAGAATTTATCATTAGACTGAGGCTTTGAGGAGAGAATTTATCATTAGACTAAGGCTTTGGAGAGAGTATTTATCATTAGACTGAGGCTTTGGAGAGAGTATTTATCATTAGACTAAGGCTTTGAGGAGAGAATTTATCATTAGACTAAGGCTTTGGAGAGAGTATTTATCATTAGACTAAGGCTTTGGAGAGAGTATTTATCATTAGACTAAGGCTTTGGAGAGAGAATTTATCATTAGACTGAGGCTTTGGAGAGAGTATTTATCATTAGACTGAGGCTTTGGAGAGAGAATTTATCATTAGACTGAGGCTTTGGAGAGAGAATTTATCATTAGACTGAGGCTTTGGAGAGAGAATTTATCATTAGACTGAGGCTTTGGAGAGAGAATTTATCATTAGACTGAATCTTTGGAGAGAGAATTTATCATTAGACTGAGGCTTTGAGGAGAGAATTTATCATTAGACTGAGGCTTTGGAGAGAGAATTTATCATTAGACTGAGGCTTTGAGGAGAGTATTTATCATTAGACTGAGGCTTTGAGGAGAGTATTTATCATTAGACTGAGGCTTTGAGGAGAGAATTTATCATTAGACTGAGGCTTTGAGGAGAGAGTATTTATCATTAGACTCAGGCTTTGAGGAGAGTATTTATCATTAGACTGAGTCTTTGAGAAGAGTATTTATCATTAGACTGAGGCTTTGGAGAGAGAATTTATCATTAGACTGAGGCTTTGGAGAGAGAATTTATCATTAGACTGAGGCTTTGAGGAGAGTATTTATCATTAGACTGAGGCTTTGGAGAGAGAATTTATCATTAGACTAAGGCTTTGGAGAGAGAATTTATCATTAGAGAGAGAGTATTTATCATTAGAGGCTTTGGAGAGGCTTTGAGAGAGAATTTATCATTAGACTGAGGCTTTGGAGAGAGAATTTATCATTAGACTGAGGCTTTGGAGAGAGAATTTATCATTAGACTGAGGCTTTGGAGAGAGAATTTATCATTAGACTGAGGCTTTGGAGAGAGAATTTATCATTAGACTAAGGCTTTGGAGAGAGTATTTATCATTAGACTGAGGCTTTGAGGAGAGAATTTATCATTAGACTGAGGCTTTGGAGAGAGTATTTATCATTAGACTGAGGCTTTGGAGAGAGTATTTATCATTAGACTGAGGCTTTGAGGAGAGAGTATTTATCATTAGACTAAGGCTTTGGAGAGAGAATTTATCATTAGACTGAGTCTTTGGAGAGAGAATTTATCATTAGACTGAGGCTTTGAGGAGAGTATTTATCATTAGACTAAGGCTTTGGAGAGAGAATTTATCATTAGACTGAGGCTTTGGAGAGAGTATTTATCATTAGACTAAGGCTTTGGAGAGAGAATTTATCATTAGACTGAGGCTTTGGAGAGAGAATTTATCATTAGACTGAGGCTTTGAGGAGAGTATTTATCATTAGACTAAGGCTTTGAGGAGAGAATTTAGGAGAGAATTTATCATTGGAGAGAGAATTTATCATTAGACTAAGGCTTTGAGGAGAGTATTTATCATTAGACTGAGGCTTTGGAGAGAGAATTTATCATTAGACTGAGGCTTTGGAGAGAGAATTTATCATTAGACTGAGGCTTTGGAGAGAGTATTTATCATTAGACTGAGGCTTTGGAGAGAGTATTTATCATTAGACTGAGGCTTTGGAGAGAGAATTTATCATTAGACTAAGGCTTTGAGGAGAGAATTTATCATTAGACTAAGGCTTTGGAGAGAGAATTTATCATTAGACTAAGGCTTTGGAGAGAGAATTTATCATTAGACAAAGGCTTTGAGGAGAGAATTTATCATTAGACTGAGGCTTTGAGGAGAGAATTTATCATTAGACTGAGGCTTTGAGGAGAGTATTTATCATTAGACTAAGGCTTTGGAGAGAGAATTTATCATTAGACTGAGGCTTTGGAGAGAGTATTTATCATTAGACTAAGGCTTTGGAGAGAGTATTTATCATTAGACTAAGGCTTTGGAGAGAGTATTTATCATTAGACTGAGTCTTTGAGGAGAGTATTTATCATTAGACTTTTAGTCTTTGAGAGAATATATATCCATTGACAAAGGCCATGAGGAAAGTAGCTAATAAACGAGCCAGTTCTAACTTCAGTTCAGAGCAAGCTTGCCTTGCCTCAGAAATCTATCACAACATTTTTGCTGTCTGGACATTACCTTCAAAAACTTGACATTCCATAAGTAATAAAATGATGCTGCACATAATGCACAAAATCTTTTGATGTTACTGAAGTACCAATCAAGCTTCATGTATTCATTTTACGATGTAGTTATAAGAAAATGCCAATTTTAATGTTGCTATTTTGTCTTATTTCCCAAACTTTCAACATTTTTTTCTACTTTTTCTGACAAAATTGACAGTTAAAAAAGGTTTTTGGTGTCATTTTGGTTTGATTCTTATTCTCATTGTTGTTTTTGTATTATGAATTAAAACTTCTTGAAGAATTTGCATCACATAGGGATCAAATTCAATTTCTCAGCATTCTTTTTCTTTCAGTATGAATGTATTTTGGTCATGTTAGAAAGTACAATGTCTTTGATAAATTGTGCCGTGTAATGAAAACACCCTTCAAATTAAAATTCAGAATGTTATGAATTACATACATGTTACTTTATGTCTGCCAAAGTGATCACTCATCTTCACTACTTCATTTTGTTTTGTACCTTTTTCTCAATCTTAAAAGTACATTTATATTGCTGCTGTCAGTGAGCTTTGAAATGATTGTTTATGCATATGTTTTTTTTTTTTTAATTTTAGAAAATTTTTGGCTTGATAAATGTGTTATTAGAATAAGAGAAAATCCATCTGGTTCTGACACCTTATGAATCTGAGACATTTTCTAATATATTTGATGTGGCTGTTGAATCATGTATATCAAAATTGTCAACAAGTGTCAGTAGTGAGTTACCAACCTACATGTACAGTGATGATATATAGGGGCAAGATTCTCATGGGTTATGAAAGAGATATTTTTAAAATCAATTTTGAAACCTAGAATTTACATTTTTATCTCGCATGACCTAAAGGATTGTAATATACAAGCTTATGCCTTGGTGTAATGTCCCTTACTTGGTGTCTGAAAGACATAGAATCACAATATTTAGAACTATAAGGCATAGAATCACAATATTTAGAACTATAAGGCATAGAATCACAATATTTAGAACTAGAAGGCATAGAATCACAATATTTAGAACTAGAAGGCATAGAATCACAATATTAAGAACTAGAAGGCATAGAATCATGGTATTTAGAAAGTGGGTTCCAGTAATGAAAGGAATGAAACCTGACTTAGTTTGTGAAAAGAAATGACCTTGATCCATGTTCAGACAAGGGTCATATTTTATTAAATATTTTGATCAGTTTCTTCTGATTATCTTAAAGACTTAGCATCAGATATCTGGCAATAGCTTTCAAGAATAAAGCCCCACAAAGTTACTACAAAAAAAAACCAAGAAAAAAATTCATCTTTTTTCAAGGTCATAGGATTGTCAAATTTGTTTTAGAAAAACCCCCCAAAAAACTTGAACATCTTTTGATTAACCTTTAAGGCATATATCATGATATTTACCTTCTAGGATCCTGGAATAAGGCTTTGTAAGGTAATGTTGAAGAAACAATATTAACTTTAGCTGTATTCAATGATACAGGGGTCAAATTTGTTAAAACGTTCAAACAACTTCTCTGATGAACCAAAGAGTGTAAAATTCAGATTTTTAGCTTACAGGTTCTTAGGATGAAACAGAGACAAAGATTGAGAATAGAAGTGACCTAGACCATGTATATTCAAGGTCACAAGAGCCAAATATATATCATGAAGTTGGTGTAAATTAATTGGATAACCCATTAAATATATTTTTAAAAATCATGGAATTCCAGGCGAGTGATGCAGACCTTTAGGCCTCTTTTGCATGTCTGCATGATGTTCTCTGATAATTTATTCATTAATTTATTTAATTGGTTTTCCAATATTAATTTCAAGAAGACTAATTCTAATCTGGGTAAAAAACAGGTAATTTGGTAAGATTTGTCCAGATGACCTACAAAATGTAGAAAAGCTGGCAACACTGCCATGTCTTTAAGAATGTGATGTAGATTAATTGTTTTGAAACCTCTTGGGTTCCCGTCGTCCCTAAAACTGAATGTATAATTTACAGACAACTGCGGGAATACTTTGAAAACAGCTACGACTTGAATGAGTCTCTCTTCACATCATTGCGAGGTAATGCTTTGTGGAGTTTGGTATATCTTATAAGCTGTGTTGGAGATCAATCATGATGCATGATACATTTCATCAAAAGTGACCACTTTCACAAATTTGAATAAATTCACATTTTCATCTTCCATGTTCATTTTCATTTAATTTTTCATTTTCAAAGTAAAAGATGTAAGTAAAAATGTAAGAAAGGGTAGATGTAATGAAAATCTGAAAGTCTTATAGAAAATAATGTTCTTTGATAAAATTTGTGAATGTAGACTTTTTTAGTTTCACATGAAGTAATATTCTACATGGTGTTATTGTGTTGTAGACGAGTCTGTGTTCTACACATGTCCAGACAGGCTGAGACTTCCCCTGGTATTCTACTTTGCCCATACTGCTTCCGTTTATGTCAACAAGCTCATGCTGGCCGGACTCATCAAGGTAGAAACCTCTATATAACGGCAACTCTCCATTCTGACCTCCTTGTTTTATATGTGTACAAATACCTGAAATGTTTGTGCAGATACTTATAATCTTTGCTTTATCTCTCTATAGTGACATTTCTATATTAATACAGTAGTTCAGATAAGTCCAGATGGCACATGACAAACTTTTAACTCCACGGAGAAAGAGGCCTTGGACTTATTGCGGAACAATGGAATAGCATTTGTTATCAGTTTTACTTACTTCAATAAAAATCTCTGGGCATTTTGCCGAGAGTGGGCCTGTTGCTGGATATGGTACCAACATATCAATGTGAACTCGTGGCTTTTTCTTAAATCTTCACATTAAAATCCACCTTTACTCTGTTAACATATAGGTGTATATGTAAATGCATGTAAACATTTTTACACTTTATTTAGACATAAATCCACAAGTTTTTACCCTTATATGTGGGACTTCCATATAACAACACTTATGTATACTGACATCTATTTATTCAGCACCTCAGTTGATGCTGCCTGATCTGTATGTACAGACACTTCCTTATAATGACACCTTTTTATACAGACACACCTCTATATTTACTTCTTTGTCTGGCATCACTAACACATGGTCAGACATTTCCTTATAATGACACCTCTTTATACAGACACACCTCTATATTGACTTCTCTGTTCCGCATCACTAACAAATGGTCAGACACTCCCTTATAATGACACCTCTTTATACAGACACACCTCTGTATTTATCTCACATCACTAAGACATGGTCAGACACTTCTTTATAATGATACCTCTTTATACAGACACACCTCTGTATTTGGCTCACATCACTAAGACATGGTCAGACACTTCTTTATAATGACACCTCTTTATACAGACACACCTCTGTATTTGGCTCACATCACTAAGACATGGTCAGACACTTCTTTATAATGACACCTCTTTATACAGACACACCTCTGTATATGTCTCACATCACTAAGACATGGTCAGACACTTCTTTATAATGACACCTCTTTATACAGACACACCTCTGTATTTGGCTCACATCACTAAGACATGGTCAGACACTTCTTTATAATGACACCTCTTTATACAGACACACCTCTGTATATGTCTCACATCACTAAGACATGGTCAGACACTTCTTTATAATGATAACTCTTTATACAGACACACCTCTATATTGACTTCTTTGTCTTGCATCACTAACACATAATCAGACACTTCCTTATAATGACACCTCTTTATACAGACACACCTCTATATTGACTTCTCTGTTCCGCATCACTAACAAATGGTCAGACACTCCCTTATAATGACACCTCTTTATACAGACACACCTCTGTATTTATCTCACATCACTAAGACATGGTCAGACACTTCTTTATAATGATACCTCTTTATACAGACACACCTCTGTATTTGGCTCACATCACTAAGACATGGTCAGACACTTCTTTATAATGACACCTCTTTATACAGACACACCTCTGTATATGTCTCACATCACTAAGACATGGTCAGACACTTCTTTATAATGATAACTCTTTATACAGACACACCTCTATATTGACTTCTTTGTCTTGCATCACTAACACATAATCAGACACTTCCTTATAATGACACCTCTTTATACAGACACACCTCTATATTAACTTCTCTGTCCCGCATCACTAACACATGGTCAGACACTTTCATATAATGACACCTCTTTATACAGACACACCTCTATATTGACTTCTCTGTTCCGCATCACTAACACATGGTCAGACACTCCCTTATAATGACACCTCTTTATACAGACACACCTCTATATTTGTCTTGCATCATTAAGACATGGTCAGACACTTTCATATAATGACACCTCTTTATACAGACACACCTCTATATTGACTTCTCTGTTCCGCATCACTAACACATGGTCAGACACTCCCTTATAATGACACCTCTTTATACAGACACACCTCTTATATTTGTCTCGCATCACTAACACATGGTCAGTGCTATACATATACAATGTATTTGTTACAGGAGCGAGTGGACTTAGACTTTGAGACTATGTTTGAGACTGGTGTTGATGAGATGTCCTGGGATGATACGGTATGTTTAAGTTGTATCAAATAATATAATCATCAGATTTCATGCTTGGTTGATGAATGTGGTCTGATACAAATGATATGTCCATTTCAGGAAAATTATCGTATGGGAGGAAGTTATCAATGGCCATCTCTGGACAAGGTCATTGAGTACAGACAAAGAGTGAGAAATTTGATCCTTAAGATGATCCAGGACACACCACTTGAACTACCTGTAAATAAGGACAGCACCTGGGTATGTAAACTACCTGTAAATAAGGACAGCCGTGGGGTTTGTAAACTACCTGTAAATAAGGAAAGCCCCTGGGTATGTAAACTACCTGTAAATAAGGATAGCCCCTGGGTATGTAACCTACCTGTAAATAAGGACAGCACCTGGGTATGTAACCTACCTGTAAATAAGGACAGCACCTGGGTATGTAAACTACCTGTAAATAAGGACAGACCCTGGGTATGTAATCTACCAGTAAATAAGGACAGCACCTGGGTATGTAAACTACCTGTAAATAAGGATAGCCCCTGGGTATGTAACCTACCTGTAAATAAGGACAGCACCTGGGTATGTAATCTACCTGTAAATAAGGAAAGCCCCTGGGTATGTAACCTACCTGTAAATAAGGACAGCACCTGGGTATGTAATCTACCTGTAAATAAGGACAGACCCTGGGTATGTAATCTACCTGTAAATAAGGACAGACCCTGGGTATGTAATCTACCTGTAAATAAGGACAGACCCTGGGTATGTAAACTACCTGTAAATAAGGACAGACCCTGGGTATGTAATCTACCTGTAAATAAGGACATACCCTGGGTATGTAAACTACCTGTAAATAAGGACAGACCCTGGGTATGTAATCTACCTGTAAATAAGGACATACCCTGGGTATGTAATCTACCTGTAAATAAGGACATACCCTGGGTATGTAAACTACCTGTAAATAAGGACAGACCCTGGGTATGTAATCTACCTGTAAATAAGGACATACCCTGGGTATGTAAACTACCTGTAAATAAGGACATACCCTGGGTGTGTAATCTACCTGTAAATAAGGACATACCCTGGGTGTGTAAACTACCTGTAAATAAGGACATACCCTGGGTATGTAAACTACCTGTAAATAAGGACATACCCTGGGTATGTAAACTACCTGTAAATAAGGACAGCCATGGGGTATGTAAACTACCTGTAAATAAGGAAAGCCCCTGGGTATGTAAACTACCTGTAAATAAGGACAGATCCTGGGTATGTAAACTACCTGTAAATAAGGACAGATCCTGGGTATGTAAACTACCTGTAAATAAGGACAGATCCTGGGTATGTAAACTACCTGTAAATAAGGACAGCCCCTGGGTATGTAATCTACCTGTAAATAAGGACATACCCTGGGTATGTACCTGTAAATAAGGACAGATCCTGGGTATGTAAACTACCTGTAAATATTTATAACTTGTTATAATTCCTTGCTGGGTATGTAATCTACTGTAAATAAGGACAGTCCCTGGGTATGTAAACTACCTGTAAATAAGGACATACCCTGGGTATGTAAACTACCTGTAAATAAGGACATACCCTGGGTGTGTAATCTACCTGTAAATAAGGACAGATCCTGGGTATGTAAACTACCTGTAAATAAGGAAAGCCCCTGGGTATGTAATCTACCTGTAAATAAGGTACCCTGGGTATGTAGTTTGATACAATATTTATAACTTGTTATAATTCCTTGCTTTACTGAGGAGTTACTATTTAGTGTTTACTCGTTTGTAACAATGCCTATTTTGTTTGTAACAATGCCTATTTTGTTTGTAACAATGCCTATTTTGTTTGTAACAATGCCTATTTTGTTTGTGACAATGTCTATTTTGTTTGTGACAGTGGGCACTGATGATGGGCATTGAACATGAAAGAATCCACATAGAGACATCATCTGTCCTCATTCGCCAGCTTCCTATCACCATGGTGACCAAGCCAAATGGTTGGGTTTATGGTCCACTGAAGTATGGTAAGTTATATATGTACAGTATTTTGTAAGGTTGAGATTTGTTGAAATGATAGAGAAGTACTGACTAAGTCATTTTTCATGGGAATGTTGTGTTGCTGAAACTCTCTTCGATGACCAATTACTTGTGTCTTATCATCATCATTATTAAGATGTTTCATTTTTATGTACTATATAATATATATGTTTTCATATTACAAGTTACATACAATCGTTTACCTGTTTGAATATCTACTTCAAAAATGAACATTTTAGGAGAAAAAGTGAAGACAAACCCATTGATAACTGTGGATACAAAGACAGTGACATTTGGGAAGCCAGACAATTTTCCCTCATTTGGCTGGGACAATGAGTACGGAGAGATGACTTGCAAGTGAGTGTAAAAGTGAACTTACAAATAAATGAATTATCGGTATACAATGTATCAGGTGGACGTTTTGGAGGCGACATGGAATGTGGAAATATCTATCAGAACATTAGGTTCAAATAAGGTCAGATAGAGGTCAAGTGACCAGTACCTAACAACAATTACATGTAGCTGTTGGAATGGTGGCTAAAAGACAGGGACAATATAATCAGTACCCTACTGATTTGTTGTGATGTTTAGTTCCAAGATTACATATGAAAAATCACCAATTTATGAGTTTATTTATACAACTCTTTGTAAAGGAAAGAATTGCTATAACGTCACAATTAAACAACTGCTTTCAGAAATTTATTTAAAAAAGTGATCGTCAACCTCCTGCTGTAGAACACTTATCAGGTCAGAATTCTGTAATTTACAAGGATGTCATTGTCTCTCCTATTTCAGTGTGCCCAGCTTTGAAGCGAGTAAGTTTCCTGTGACTAATGGTCAATTCCTGAAGTTTGTTCAGGATGGAGGCTATACCAACAAGAAATACTGGACCCCAGAGGGATGGGAGTGGCGATCATTTCGCCAGGCATGTCACCCAACCTTCTGGACCTGCGATAAAGGTATACGTAGTTGCAATATGTCTGAAGTATAAAATCTTGGTCAGTTTTATTTTAGGTCACCTGACCTGTTGCGATCACCTTTTTCTGGCGTCGTGCATCCATAAACAATTTCACATTTTTGACTTCTCAAAACCCCTGCACTGATTTCAATGAAATTTCGCAGAAACCTTCCCTTGAATAAGATGAACCAAAATAGTGAATTATATGGTTATCACCCCACAGGGGCATGAGGGATGGGGCCAAAAGGGTCTGATTGACACAAATTTCAAACATCTTCTCAACACCCATATATACTCTTCATGGATGTAAGCATCTTAAGGCTCTTTACCAAAATTGAATTTCATGGCCCCAGGGTTTCACATTTCCCTTTGGGGAGGGGGTAAGTTTACTATAGTTTATGTAGGAAAAATAGTTTTTTGAGCATAAATTTCAAAAATCTTGTTTTCAACAACCAGGTATGGTACATGAATAATATAATGCTCTTCGTGGAGGTTAGTATAATCTTAAGGCACTTCAATTACCAAAATGAGTCTCGAATTTCTTTCTGGGGACAAAGTTAACCTCAGTGTAATTTTTATAGTAAAATTGCATTTTTGAGCAAAATGTTGTTTATCTCCAATTGGAAATAACTAAGATTTATTAGTATAGGATGACAGTTTTGATGGTATGCAGATATTGACACTGGCTTACTATCATCAATGTCTTTATTCCTTTTTCATGGCACTTGAATGCTACTTACCCTTTAACCTTTATAATCAATATTGCCCATCTCAGGTGACCAACAAGGCTGCTAGGCCTGTGTTGTGATATGAGATGATTTCTAACATTATTGGATAAGATGTTCATTTCTGATGCGGTTGTCTCTGTTTCCAGGCTGTAAGTCGAGTTGTGGATCAGCTTTATCCTCTCACTCGCACTGCTCACCAAAAATATCCGATGGTATGGAGTCAAATGGCAACACCAATGGCTTCACTAAGACTGACATAGTGCCATACAAGTAAGAAATCCTGCTGTTTTACCGTTAGTCGCTCATTTCTGTGGAGGTGATGTTTTGCAGAAGCATTAATGTGATCGTGCAAATAATGAGACACATGTTGATGTCCATTTATTTCAAGATGACATAATTTTAATTTGTTAGAATATGATTTGATTGGTTTAAAGGTAAATCTTGACTATTTTAACAAGTGAATATTATCAGCTGCACAACATTTGTGTGGTGTGACTGTTTTGTTGTCATCTCCTACACAAGCGGCACTAAAGATATTTGAAGAAAGATCGTCTCACAGCAGGGTAGAAGTTAGAGTAGGTAGAAACAAATGGTCGCCTGGTTACAGGGTAGGTTAGTAACAAGATGGCTAAATAACAAGGTCATTAAGTAACATAGTTCCATTGGTTACAGATATCGTGCCATGTTTGATGAGATAAACATGCCACTTGATTGGCCAGTAGATGTGAACTACCACGAAGCTCGTGCTTACTGTGCCTGGAAGGGACCAGACTTCCGTCTGCCCACAGAGGCTGAATATGCTGCCATGAAAGGTTCAGAGGTTGGTATTTACAGCAGCTTTACCAAACAGTTTCATACAGTCTGGTTTAGACAAGTTTGTGTAAAAATGGTCGTGTGTTAATACAGTACCAATATAATGATTAGGATGGTCACTGTTTAAGAGGCAAATGAAACATAAGAACTGTCACTCAAATGAATCAACATTTGTTTTCTGCGTCTCTGTATGATGTATTAATGATTGTGTTACATTCTTTTTATGCCCCTGCCATTTATGGCCGGGGGCATATAGCGTTGCCCATGTCCGTCGCGTCGCGTCCCAAATCAGTATATACCACCTAACAACTTCATGCGGACCTTTCACTATTATTTCACATGGGGGGGGGGCAGGGGCATTCATGTCTTACAGACATTTTCTAGTTCTGTATTAGTATATCACTTTGTGATTGACGTTTCAGCTGCCCACGAGCTGTGGTGTCAAGTGTGATGTTATCTTCCAGGAGAATTCAGGTTCTAATATCAACCTGTTGTATGGATCGTCCACGGTATGTACTTCCTGAAGTAACTTCCTGTTGTAAGGTCAATGTGCAACATATTAATCTGTTTTTGTTGTCATTAATCATCACTGTATACATGCAAGTAAAAAACTGGTTTTAGTTTTATTGAAATGTATTCTCAGGTTTAACTCTTGTATACAATTCAGTGATTGGAGATGTTTGATTTCACAGCCAGTTAACATGAATGCAGCATCAGAGCTTGGATTCCATGATATTTACGGGAACGTCTGGGAGTGGACAGAGGACCACTTTAATGGACTGGATGGCTTTGAGTCTCACTTCTTGTATGACGATTATTCCACACCATGTTTTGATGGAAGACACAACATCATGATGGTGCGTTACCTACAATACACCTGGGACCAGTAGTACTGGATCTCCATCATCTAGAATTGTACATGCATTGTTCGTATGATCATTGAAAGAAGTTTTATGCATTAATTTCAACAAAACCCTAAATAAAGTGATAATCTATTGAACAAAGATATCACCCATGGCCACACCCAGAAAATGTGTACTACTACCTAATCACATATATAATTATGTCTTAAATAGTCATTTTTTTGTCTTGTGAATTATCATTTTATGCATGGTCTTTTTTCAATAAATGCAGATTTATTCAGTGTAGAGCATTACTGCAGTCACTGCTTGTTTTTATTTAGAATGGATCATGGATGTCCACTGGTAGTTATGGCTCTAAATTCACACGGCTGGGATTCCGTCGACATTTCATGCAGCATTGTGGTTTTCGGGTAGCTCGACCTGTAGTGAAGAAGAGAGAGAAGATCAACATCCCAGTGGCCAGCTTGGAAATGGAGGTGTTTGTATTGGGGGTCGGAGATCAAGGTGAGGAGACTTTTCTACATGATGTTGAAAACAGTTAAAAACTTCTGTTTTGGAGGGGTCAGAGGTTGAGAAAGGTTGTGATCTTCAAAGACATCTGGAGTTAATATTAGTAGGAGGGGTCAGAGGGACTCGAGTTTGATGTAGTTTGTTGAACGGTTGTATAGTGGCAGAGTTTATAGGAGTTGTTTAAAGTTCTATAATGTCATGTTTGGTGTAGTTTATTTACTTGCAGTGGCAGATCTCAGTATTATGTAATCATTACAGACATTCCCGAAACCATTGACACAACAAAGTATGAGCTGACCCGCAGGCGCACATCTAATTCCCAGTACGATTTTGACAGTAAGGAGGCGTTGGCAGGAATTCTGGAACAGGAGTTTGGTTATAGAGATGCTTTACCATGTGTGGTGGCTGACTTATGTAGGAGTTACACACATACCTACAAGTGTGGCACTACATCAGCGGCCTGGTTTGGGTCGGGCAGTGGCCGCGGACCCATGCTTCTCTCGTCCACATTCACCAATGTATGTACACAGGCCTGTCCTAATGTCCTGTTCGTATTTTGTGCCAGAATTTCAAACATTAGAAATCAATTATTTTTATTTGAAGACGTAAGGTCTGCTGTCTCGTACTCTTTTCTTATTGGTTAAAAAATGGTTACTTTACTCAAACTCCATCACTTGTCGGGTATTGTTCTACTCACGATTGGATAGCTGCATGTACATTTGTAGAGAATAGCTGAATTGTACATGGTTGTTTTAGCATACTTCTGCTTTCAAGTTGACTCTCTTGGTAAGAAAAAAAATGAAGTAAAGAATTGTGTCTGAAAGAAAACTGCTGTAAGATATGCTATGTATTATGTAAATTTATGAATGGTAATGTTTGTGATTTCACACATAATACAGATATTGGCTGTGGACTACAGTGGAAGATTTATCGACACAGCTCTCCGTCTACAGCGTGGTGAAGAAATACCTTATACAGGACCAGATGGTCAGGAGACCTCTGCTGTCATCATTGGGACATCCCAAAATGTCACCTTCAAACAGGTATATTGACAAGTTCTATTTGCTAATCATGTAATATTGTAATGTTATACTGTTGGGGACATATTGACAAATGAAAAACCAGCAATCATATTAAGTTTTAAAGAATTGATTTTATAGTTTAAAGTTGAGAAAAATGATTTTGAAATTCCTTTCCATTTATGTCTGAATTCACAATGTTATACAGTTTACCTGGGTCCCTAATGAGACTGGCAGGCACAACCTGGTAGTAATGACTTTCCTAGGAAGAACTCTAACACCTAAAGGTAAGTGAATTACTCAAGGAAGGCAACTCTCACATGAACATAACCAAGAGGGAGAACATTTTCACAGGTAAACAGCAAATCACCATCACAGGTAGACAAACTGTAAGACTCCTACTTGATGGTCACTAAATCACATCTACACAGGTAGACAATTCTCAAACCTAAATGTAGGTAAATCACATCTACACAGGTAGACAATTCTCACACCTTAATGTAGGTAAATCACACACTGAAAGACATAAAACTCTCACACTTAAAAGTCGGTACAGACAATTCTCAAACCTAAATGTAGTTAATATATAAATCAAACACTTAAAGGTAGGCAAACCCTCAGATCTGAAGGTGGGTAAATCCCACACTGAAAGGTAGAAAACTTTCACATCTAGAGGTTTGTGGATATTACAGGTAGACAGCTATCACACCTAAAGGTAGACAAACCACACTTTTAATGGCTGACAATTCTCACACCTGAAGTTGAGAGACTTGGACATACAAAGGTGACCACTGTCACATCTAAAGATAGGTTAATCACACAATAACATTAGTCAATCACAAACTTAAAGGTAGACAACTCTCAGACCTTTAAGATATGTAAATCACAAACTGGTAGACACCTCTGATACCTTATGGTAGGTACATCTATATCATACTTAAACTTAGACAAATCTCATGTGCAAAGTTAGGTAAATACACCTTACGGAAGACAAGTGTCACAACTAATGATAATCAAATCACTTGTCTTAAGGTAGACAAAACTTGTACCTGAAAGTATGCATATCGCTAATAGGAAGGTAGACAACTCTTACATCAGATTGTCAAAACATGTAACTGCTGTCCGTTAGGTAAAGAACTCTCATGAAATGTACTATTCAACAGTCTGCATCTCTCAAAAGATTTCTTGTTATAGATGAAGCTTTAATCTATTCAAAAATATTCGATTGGAAACTTTTGTTTTATGTTGAACGCGGTAGACACATAGAGTATTCAGGAACCTCCTACTTACCTAGGATTTTACCTAACTTATACAGCATATACAGTTAATTTGAAGGACCTGGTGTTGAGATTTTTGTAGTAAATATAGTATTCGTAAACAATAACTGTTTATGATAATTTTAGCTTGGCTGGTAAGAATGTGGGAGATTCTGGAAGACACTGGAATAGTGGTTATTGTGTCCGAGGATGAAACCTGGGGACGTGATGCTCTTGCACCACACCTGGAGAGCAGGTAACTATAATATTTCTTATTTCATGTATTGTGTATGCATATGCAGTGAATGAAACAATTTTCAGCCATGTAATTTTTCTTAACAACAGTGAAATAGATGTACTTCACAATAATTTTTATCTTCTATGAATCAAGCAATTTCATTGCCTAATATTGTTATGTTATCATTCCATACTTTATAGAAAATTGATGTAATTTTGTAATGTCATGTTTGATAAGGCAATGCAGCAGTGTATGAAATTATCAAGGTAACGTTTCATTATAAATGTCAATCTGTGATTGAATTATAAAGATTAACTTAAATTAATTTTGATATTATTCCTAAAAACAGAACAAAAATAAATAATACCGTTGACATAAATAGTTACTTTGAGTATGCATGCTGATATTTGTTTTGTGGCTCAAAAACCAATTCAATAATTAAAGTTGATCCTTAAATACTTTCTAGACATATTACCTTCATTTTTCAGTAATTAATGATATTTACATAGTGGGGTTATAACCAATATAAGGTCAGCTTACTCAAGTTAAAAATTGTCAACTCTTGTCATCTCTAAACATAGATAAATTCTGTTTAAGTTTTGTTCTCATGATACTTTGTAAATCTTTACAAAATTCAGTAAACTTTGCATTACAGAAATTATAACCAAGATGTCTACAAACCAGTTTAACATTTGTCATGTTTACAATGTATGTTTCTTTCCTGTTTTAGATTGAAATGTGTTTGCATCCAGGAAGTCCCCTATGAGAAAAGTGGAGGGAAAACGGTTGCCGTGGTAACCGTGTGGTCCTTGAAGTGTTGAGAGCTGTAGTCCTGACTGTCAGCAACTGTTATGAACAGATTTTGTGTGTTTCCCTAAGGATTAATGCTTGATCCCGACATCAGAGCTGTAGCAGATTTCTTGTGGTTTTTTTCCTCTTTGTATTGATGCTTGGTCCTGACTAAGGACCTGTAGCAGATTTCTTGTGTATTTTCCCCGTTACATTGATGCTTGGTCCTGACTAAGGACCTGTAGCAGATTTCTTGTGTATTTTCCCCGTTATATTGATGCTTGGTCCTGACTAAGGACCTGAAGCAGATTTCTTGTGTTTTTTCACTTTGCATTGATACTTGGTCCTGACTAAGGACCTGAAGCAGATTTCTTGTGTTTTTTCCCCTTTGTATTGATACTTGGTCCTGACTAAGTACCTGTAGCAGATTTCTTGTGTTTTTTCCCCTTCGTATTGATGCTTGGTCCTGACTAAGGACCTGTAGCAGATTTTGCTTTGTGTTCTTATATTGGAATTAATGTACAAAAGAAGTCCATTTATTCAGTTCTATATTAAATGTACTAACATTGATGTGATATTTTCTTTGAGGCAAAGTGTATACTATGTGATGCTTTTAGTTATCAGACATAACATGAAGACAACATAGTGTTTATATAGTCAGAAGGATGCCTGTTGTGTTGTTATAGTTTATCAGATGTCAGAGTATTATTGTTTGTTGTAATTAAAACTTTTACTGATGTTTCTTGAAGAAGACATGAAGCTTTAATGAGGAGATGTGTTGTATTTATTGTGTTTAACTATATGATATTTACCTTATATTTTGTATGTGTTGTCGACACTGCCCTCTACAATAGTGTCTCTATTGTCATGACAAAATACCCATCTTTTTATTGGTTGTTACCAATAGCCTTGTTCAACTAAAGACATTTCTTTATTATACAAGATACTTTTCTGGTAGTTAGGTCTCTGGTAGATACACAAACTAGGATTATATATTATTTTCTATGATGTATTACATGAACTGAAGGTATTTCAGGGAATTGTAATCATACATTTTTGATATAAGAGATTAGGATTGAGATGATTCATTGTGTTACACACAAACGATAAAGCTATTTATTGTGTTACACACAAACGATAAATCTATTTATTGTGTTACACACAAACGATAAAGATATTTATTGTGTTGTTTTAAACACTTGATCCACCTGTTCTAATGTGGCTGGCTTTGTGTTTATCACTATATAAATTTGATTATGGGATTTTGGTCTTTTGTTTTTTGTCAACAAGTGACTTCAGCATCTGAGATAGTACCTGGTAAGACTGATGACATTTGGTATTTATACAGAACTGTTCCATCTAATGTTCAAACCGATGTCAAGGTCGCCAAGACTATGAAAAAGAAAACTGATTTTCGTGTTCAATTTGGTCTATGAAACTGATACTTCAAACACTCATTCTTTACAGATAGTGGTTTTGTTTGGAACACGGTAGTATTTCAGATCTGAAGGTCATTAATGGAGGTCATTGTTCTTATATGTGCCTCCGACTTATCAAAAGTCTGCTATATGGTCGCCTGTGGCTGTCTTAAAGTTTGTCACCTTCAGAACATTGGTAATGGATTCTATGAACATTTTTTCCAAATAATAAAAAAACCTTTTCTCTATTGAAGCATTTTTCAAATTCTCCAATTAGGTTAGCTTACATCTATTTTCGGTTATACGCGAGAAAGACAATTTAAGGTATGACATCATTTCAATCATGACGTCACCTGGAGTGGAATATCTCGTAGAGATACCAGACTGGTTGGACGAGACAGAAAAAATTAACAGGGTACCGCGAGAGATTTATAGAAACTTTAGCCCTCATACAGGTGAGATCAATAGGATCTTTGGCTAGATTGAGGGTAGAACAGAGAAATATCTAACCGCGGAAGAGATTCACGATTGTGTAACCCGAGACTATATTGGGAATCTCCTCCGAGTGTTTCTCTGTCCTACCTTCAAACTAGGGGATTGTCCTTTCGCTACTCCTCAACGTTATATGGACGGATGTGTGTGGTGTTAACGTTACACAGACGGATATGTGTGATATTGACGTTATACAGACAGATGTGTGTGGTGTTGGCGTTATATGGACGGATGTGTGTGGTGTTAACGTTATACAGACGGATATGTGTGATATTGACGTTATACGGACATATGTGTGTGGTGTTGGCGTTATACGGACGGATGTATGTGATATAGACGTTATACGAACGGATGTGTATGATAATGACGTTATACGGACGGATGTGTGTGATATTGACGTTATACGGACGGATGTGTGTGGTGTTGACGTAATACGGACGGATGTGTGTGGCATTGACGTAACACGGACAAATGTGTGTAGTATTGACGTTATACGGACAAATGTGTGTGATATTGACGTTATACGGACGGATGTGTTTGATATTGACGTTATACGGACATTTGTGTGTGGTGTTGTCCGGACAGATGTATTAGGTGATGTCGCTATACGGACGGATGTGTGTGGTATTGACGTTATGCGGACGGATATGCGGATATAGACGTTATACAGACGGATGTGTGTGATATTGACGTTATACAGACAGATGTGTGTGATATTGACGTTTTACGGACGGATGGTTGTGGTATTGACATTATACAGACAGATGTGTGTGATATTGACGTTATACGGACAGGTGTGCGTGGTGTTGACGTTACACGGACGGATGTGTGTGATATAGACGTTATACGGACGGATGTGTGTGATATTGACGTTATACGGACGGATGTGTTTGGTGTTGTCCGGACGGACGTATTGGGTGATGTCGCTTTACGGACGGATGTGTGTGGTATTGACGTTATACGGACGAATGTGTGTAATATAGACGTTATACGGACGGATGTGTGTGATATAGACGTTATACGGACGGATGTGTGTGATATAGACGTTATACGGATATTTGTGTGTGATGTTGGCCGGACAGATGTATTGGGTGATGCCGCTATACGGACGGATGTGTGTGATATAGACGTTGTACGGACGGATGTGTGTGATATTGACGTTATACGGACGGCTGTGTGTGGTGTTGATGTTATACGGACGGATGTGTGTGATATTGACGTTATAGGGACAGATGTGTGTGGTGTTGACGTTGTCCGGACAGATGTATTGGGTGATGTCGCTATACGGATAGATGGTTGTGGTATTGACGCTATACGGACGGATGTGTGTGCTGTTGACGTTGTACAGACACAAGTGTCTTGCGTTCGAATTATGTCTCTGTTTATTACGATCTTTTAAAAGAAACTTTGTACATCCGCAAATATTTACTTTGGCACGTGTTATAAATTCTTGTTAGATTTTAAAATTATACATAACGACACCAAAGAAAATATTGACTTTCTCCTTACCCAGGCTGTAATTGACAGGTTCTCAGTCGCGGTATTTACAACAAAGACCCTTCATTCGATGACATCTGTAAACAGTTTATGTCCATCAGTATACTCACGTTCCCAAGATTTTAATTTTATATGTGTCATAAAATTATACATGTTACGTAGGACGAGACCTGGTGTATTTGATAATCAATATCACAGGTAACTAGGTTTTCGTGTGAGAGAGGTATACTTCTTGTGACCCATGCTATGGTATGAAATGTTTTGGACTCAATGTTCCCCTCAAAATGAAGGCAGATAGAGACGCATGGCATGTTCATAAACGTTCTTGAACATCCTGGATTGGATTATTGAAAACAATATTAAGATTTATACTGTCCGGCCTTTTTCCGACGTCAGCCTAATTTCCCATCAGGGTGTATACTTAAGGCTTCGACAAATAGCTGTATTTAAACATAAACACACAAAAACGCATTATTTAAGGATTAGTTTTGTAATTTGGTAAGGTTATCGGGGTTTAACTACAATTTAATTCTAGTAAAATGAATTAGCTAGTCAAATTGAATGTTATTTTAATGTTTGTAAACTTGGAAATCGATAAAAACGAACCTGTATTTCATTAAAGAAAACGTATCCGGATTTACTACCTATTTTGTTATTGGATATAACTACAATTGAACTCGAGTAAATTTTACATAACTTGTTCATTTTTAAAATTTCAATTGTAGTTATTACCCACTAATAAAACAGAATAGATAGTTAATCCTTAAAGAAAATCATACGAAACAGAATCATAGTTGTCCACCAATGTGCCAGAGTCAGAAACAGATACACATTTGAGGAGTACGTCGGATTACTAGTATCCTTATTACATACAGTATCACAAGGTGTTTGTTATGTTATCTAACAATGCCAGTAAGAAAAGTGTCAAAACACATTCATATAGAATAGCTGGACACAGTGAAGTAAAACTTAAAATCAGACAAAACACATTCATAGACAGCTGGACACAGTACAGTAAAACTAAAAAATAGACAAAACACATTCATATGTATACAGCTGGACACAGTGAAGTTAAACTTTTAAAGAGACAAAACACATTCATATAGAATAGCTGGACACAGTACAGTAAAACTAAAAAATAGACAAAACACATTCATATGTATACAGCTGGACACAGTGAAGTTAAACTTTTAAAGAGACAAAACACATTCATATAGAATAGCTGGACACAGTACAGTAAAACTAAAAAATAGACAAAACACATTCATGGAGGATAGCTGGACACAGTGAAGTACAACCTACTGTTTTATGAATTTAAATGGTGGGTGTGTCTATTGACTTAATCAGGGTACATTGTCAGTAATACGTTATCATCGATTAACACAAGAGATCATTTGCCGTGTTTATTGATTGGATCAAATGAAAATTTGTCGTGTAAATAAATTTGTTTATATAAATATTTCCTACGCAAATCAATCTGACAAAAATGCTTTGTATATTTATTTCTGTTTAATTTCACATCATTAACGAATACATGTTGGTCCATCACAGAAGTTACAAATTACAAAGTATTCACACAAACAAATTAAACATTTAGTAAGGAAATATTTTGTTTAGATTAATCGTTTGGGATGATTATTCGCGAATAAAATACATTTATTTCAATCATTTAATGTATATCACTTACCAATCACACTGACATTTAATACGAATTAATTGTAGACCAATATACAGTCGCCCCCGATTAATAACTGTTGTTTTACAATGAAATGTACACACTTGTACTTGTAGACAAAGCAAGTCTGTGTCTTTGTCTACATGATTTTAGCAATAAACTGCCCAAATCTCAAGGTTTAGTGGTAGAAAACATCCTTTGCTGATGAAAACAGGCTGGAAGAGTCACGACTCTTGTACCGTTGATATATTGACAGTGACTTAACTTCAGATATAGAAGTTATAAATATAATATATATATGTGTGATACCTGGCGTACAAAGTAGATTTCACGAATATCCTAGTTTCTATGCAGTCAATGACCTAGGTACCTAACATTATGTTTGATCCATGAATTACGCACCTTTAGTGATTTTGGTTTCGTCCCTGTGACATTCAAGGTTTCTCACACTAGTTTACGAGTGTTCTCGTAGAGTTTTATGTGGTCTGGTGGCACAGTGGATAGCGGACTCGGCTTTTACCGGGTTCAGTTCCCCAACACATGGTACTTCATTATTTGTACCTGTACACTGTTTTCCTACCTTAAGACCCTTGCAGACTTACAGTTCAGGATGAGAAATACAAATGTTAAAACGTATTTAGAAATTGTTAATTATTTGATTTACCATTATAGTTTTATTCATCCAACTGCTTCGTTATCCTTGGTAAGACCACTTCCATATTTGGTGTCGCAATGATTGTGTCCACACAGAATTAGTTTGTATAAGCGTCTACACTAAACGTCCATGGCTGTTTCTTGCTCCCTTCGATGAGGTTCCAGTTTTGTTGGTTCTTCTGTGAGTTCCTAGTGATGATAGTCCAACCGAATATGACATTTATTCTTTATTGCTGTCACTTCCAGCTGATAGCCTTTCGAGGTTTATTTGTTGTCCTTGTATCCGGAGATTTCCTCACCGTCTCCGGCTTTAGAAACTGTTTTCCCATCGGACGTTTGATCTTACTTTCATTTCCACTCATTTTGTTTTCATTTTTTGGAATTGCCGGTGTTTTGTTCCATCGTTTGTTAGAGCGTGTGTATTGTGTAATAAAGATTTTGACGGGTCCGAGACACTTGGTGTATGCACAGTAACAGCAATCGTTCGTGTGACACGGGTACGACAGTTTATACAGCTC